TTTGCATTTTGTATTCTTTAGCCTAAACATGCCAAGTTTCTTCAAATAGTTCTCTCATACCATAGACTCACGGCCCTTTGCCTTCCTGGCTGGCCTCCTCTGGATAATCCAGTTTAATAATGTCCTTCTTAAGCCATGGGGCCCAGAACTAAACATGATACTTCATATGAGGTCTGATGGGGGCAGATATAAGTGGGACCATCACCTCCCTATAGTCTATGCTCCTCTTAAAGTAGCCATAGATCATGTTTTATATTTTGGTAGCTATCTCACATTGCTGTCTCATATGGAGTTTATAATCCACCAACACCCCTAGGTTTTTTACAGAAAAGCCATTGTCTATGTATGTCTCCTCCATCTTATACTTGTGAAGTTGACTATTTTCTACCCAAGTGCAAGATTTTACATTTGTCCCTTTTGAATTTCATGTTGCAAGATTCAGCCTATGTGCAAAATATAAACAAGACTATCCCTTTTGAAAGATAATAAGATAGTGCAGACATCTACAGAACCCAAAAGAGTGAATTGAACTTCACCAAAGTTACCATTTCCAAAATAAATCTATAGACATCATCAACCCTTCTGTATATTATCCACAAAACATGGCAAGAAGAGATTTTTAAAAAGTAATTACATTCAAAATAACCATAGAATGTGTGAAATATTTAGGAGTCTATAAATTAAGATACACAGGAGCTAGATAACTAAAACTACAAAACTCTCTTTATGGAAATAAAGTTAGTCCTAAATAATTGGAGATATATTAACTGCTCATGGATAAGGCCAGACCAATATAATAAAAATGACAACACTGTCTAAATCGATTTATTTAGTGTCATACCAATCAAACTGTGTCCCCACCTCAGACTCAATGCTAACTGAAAAGAGAAAAGATTTTCATGAGCAAAAATAGTTGGCTGAGACTTATCTTTCTAGAGGAATGACACATTTCAAAATAGGACAATCAAAGGGTTAGATATAGCTAATAAAGATAAACTACTGATCATAACCCTGTAGATTAATTTTGTGGGTTTTTTTTTCAGAGAAATAGTTTCTGAGCACAGTCTATCCTCTGAACATTTTTACAAGGCTGATGACATAAGTGACTGTGGTGATGGTGATAATTTTTATCATGGTGAGTATCAGTCCTCTCTATCAAATCCTATCAAGTTAAACAGGAGAGCTAGAGTAGTTTTGTATGTGTTATTACTGTAGGATACCATTAAATAAGATCTTTTGTAATGGGAAAATACTATTTTCTTATGACATTTGAAGATATCCCATAACATATAAAGATATTGCTTACTGGGTACAGGATAATTCATAGATTCATTTCAAAGACAAACTGAACTGTTTCTATTTTTTTTTAAATCATTACTCTAACCTTATTTCAGAACCACAATTAGCTGAATATAGGAAAGCTACTCTACTGCTTTTTTTCAGTAATGTATAATATCTACCATATGAGATTATCAAACCATTATAACTACTTCCACTTTTGAAATCATAGTTCAAGTTTAAAATGATTATAATATATGCGTGACTACAGCTCAGTTCCCTCAATACAGATGACAGTGTTATGTCAAGGTAACTAATATGTTTTAAAGTGAATAAATGAAAGAGAAAAGACAGGATAAAAGGTAGACAAATTATATGAGAGGAATTATTAAAATGAATATATGTTATGAACAAAATATGTAGAAATACTAATTTATGCACTACATCTAAAATAATTTGGTTTTAAATAAGTAATACTAATAAAGCTCTTGACACTTCAATTCACATTCTGAACCATATGCATCTCAGATATTGGCACATAAAGTGTATTAACTAATTACACCCAACTTTTCTGCCTTGATCAAATTGCTTTGTGTGGCCCGTTAATGACATATATCAATGATTCCAAATAGATGTGAAAATGACACAATGTCTTGCCTATAGAAATGAAGTTGAAATACAAGTTAAGTTAGATTTAGAATGCACCCTGACCCACTCCTTCAGAGCAGTGAATAAAAGCCATACCAAATGCTTACATCAAAAAAGCATTCAAATTATTCTGTGTTTTGGGGGGGTGGCTACCAGGAAGGAGAACTATTTTAATGTCTTTCCCTTCAAATATTTTATCAATTTGTACTACTCATCTTTCATGGGATTTGCTCCTGCTCTCCATTATGCTTAATAATCACCTTATCTTCTTTCTTCTCTTCACCCATCCCTGCCTTTTGAAAAATCTTAATCATCTCTCATGGCCCAGGCTCAATACTGCTTCCTCTGTGAAGACAATCCTGATCCAAATAGATAGAAGAAATCTCTCATTTCTCAGATCTCCCAAAGTAATTTGGCTGTCCCTCCTTGATGCTCTTTTATTGAATCAGACTTTAATTGGAATTGGAAGGAGCCTGAGATGTCATTTCATCCAACCTATACCTAAATAAGAATGCTATCTGCAATATCCATGCTTTTACTTATGTCTCCATCACTAACTCACCATTAGTGATGGCAAAATCAACACTTTCTACATATGGACAGTCCCAGTTGTTAGGATTTTATTTTATTTTATTACACCTATTAAAATCTGACTCTGCAACTTCTGCCAGTAGTTTCTGTTTCTGCCTTCCCAGACCAAGAGGTCATGGACCATGTCTTCTTTATCCCTGTATTACCTGAAGCACTTAGCACACTCTCTTCCACACTGGAGAAGCCTAATAAACATCTGATGACTTAGTGTGATTGAATTGCACATACCTATTTTACCAGGAAAACTGCAAGCTAATAAGAAAGCCTTAGAGCAAATTAACTTGCTGAAATAGAGCTGTCATCCAGAAAATCAAAGGAACTCAACTTAGCAAAATTTTATTTTTGTTACTTGTATGAGACATCACTCATGAAGCAACTTTGATTTAATGATGAAAAAGTTATACTCATTCTTCTTTGAGTTCCATGTACTCTGTGTAAAAGCCTGGGGAATTTATAGCTGAATTTTGATGATTAGAATTAAAGGATAGGCAGGGATAGTTAAAACAATGACTAAACCAAAATCATCCTAACTTTAAAATGAATGATTAATAATTATTCCACAGCAGATTTGTCCTCCTTATTGATTTTTTAAGTTCATATTAAAATTACTTTGTATTTCACGAGTAACTTGATCTGATGGCAAGGGGAAGTGGCCATCATATGATACACAATAAGGGAAGTTAAATCTAGCATTAAAAATGTGACCAAAAAAGAGAGAGATTATATACTTATGGTTCTAGGTTCTTAATCATCCTCATTAAAAAAAAACCCTCAAAAATGACAATGTTTTAATTATGATGGGTAGTAGGGAATATACACATATAATTGTATGATTCACTAATCTAGCAGTAGCTTTTGGAACATGGACTCTTCTCCCTCACCAAAATATGAATGCACATAGCTATGAATGCAAAAAATACTTTATTTTTGTTCTAAGATTTCCATTTCTATCCCCATCATTAAGATGATATTTTCATCTTGTGGCAAGAATGAGATTCAACATTACATAGACACTATTCACATTTCAGGGATGTGAATATAAATAATATACTTACTGCTCCAGTAGAATTTCATTTCCTCAAGGGTAAGAACTATATCATTTTTTCACCTCTATGTCCCCAGCGACTATCAAAGTACCTTGAACAGTGTAGACAGCTAAAAAATGTTTTTGGAATAAATTTTTAGCTTTTAAATAGACAAACCATTTTTTTTTTAGGCAATTGGGGTTAAGTGACTTGCCCAGGGTCACACAGCTAGTAAGTGTCAAATGTTTGGTCTGAGGCTGGACTTGAATTCAGGTCCTCCTGACTTCAGGGCTGGTGCTCTAACCACTGCACCACCTAGCTGTCCCTTAAATAGACAAATCTTAAAAATATGATACGAGTAGGAAAAAATTGTCATATGTGCCTGTAGTTAGATCAGAGCACAACAAATTCATAAATTCTACTTCTGTTTACCCTTCGATTTTAAGGGTAATTTAAATAAATAAAATCTTCTTTCTTTTTAGGGATTGAAGTAATTAAAGGTATATTTGTTAAGCTTAGCTACTTAGCATAAAATTCAAGATTACATATTGTCTTTCCTATTAGAATATGAGCTCCTTGAGGGCAGGGACAGGGCATTGGCCTTCCTTTGTATCCCTAGCACTTAGTACAGTGTTTGACACATAGTAAACATTTAATAAATGTTGACTGACTGGAAAACAAAAATGCTTTCATTTAGTAAGGGTTTTAAATAAGACAGAAAGCTGTAAGCAATTTTCCTTTTGAATAAAAGACATAAGAAATGTATTTCATAGACTTACTTTTTTCCCCTTTATTTCTGAATACATTGGCCAGATTTTTTTTTCTTTAGGGATAAAATACACTCAATATATGTGTATTAGAAACACCTATGCACATATTACTCATATGTTATATATGACATACCTACAATTAATTTTTAAAAATCCTATCTAGATTTGTTTCTTTCCTTTCCATATTTCTGACTCATATGGATACATATAGTTGCAAAAATAACACTGCTATGATCTGAAATGCTTAGAGTGTTATTTAACATAGCCAACATTTTAAAGCTTAGATTAGTGTTGTGCTCCTAAATGTTTAACAACCAGGTCTGGCAAGGGGGAAAGGTACACAAGACACATTTCTAAGTTTAGTCTGCATTATTAATATTTTCCCTATTACTTTCTTAAGTCTAGAGAATCTACCAAAAAAATCAAACCCTGATGTGTAGCATTTACAAGTTTTCAAGGTGTAAATGCTCACACTGAAAATTCAACAATTGGCTCTTGCTAGCTGGTTTGAGATGTCTCCAGCACATTCCTAGGTTAGACTATCATGAACAGGCAAACAAATTATACAGTAACAACCATTAGGATTAGTTTGTGTTAGTCAAGACCTAAGACTATTCACAGAGTTCAAAGAGTACAAGTTACTAGAATTTCTTTTGAATAGACACACTATATTAGTCTGAATCAATACCAAGTCAGGTGTAGACTAGATCCCTAAAATGATACCTCTTTGAAAGGAATACATATATATATACACACATTCAATATACATTGAGAAAAATAACAGAGTTGAGGCTATACTCAGGTATTCTACAAACTAAATCAGTATCTAGTCAAATAATGACAGCTGACATGTATGTATACATATATACACACACACAAATGTTATGTATTATAATATATATGTGTATACACACATGTATATGTAATATATATACAGGGGCAACTAGGTTGCACAGTAGATAGAGGGCTAATCTCAGAAGCAAGAATATCTGAATTTGAATCCTGACTCAGAGACTAGCTGTGTGACCCAGAGCAAGTCATTTAACCACAGTCCACATCAGTTTCCTCATCTGTAAAATGGGAAGAGTAATAGTGCCTAACTCCCAAAGTTATTGTGAGAATAAAGTGAGATAATATTTGTAAAGTGTTATGTAAATGCTAGCTGCTGCTGTTGTTGCTGCTGTTTTTATATCTCTTTAAGGTTTACAAAGTGTTTTACACACATAGTATCAGAAAGCTCTGAAGAAAGAGGTGATTTGTCCGGGGTCACTCAGCAAGTGTGTGTATTTGAGAGGTGAGGAGGTGACCTAAATGTGGGTTGTCTTGACTGTAAGATCACTCTGGCCTTCTATTCATTATACTATCTCTCAACAATGAAGGTGCTAACAGTAATATTATACATACTTTACAGATGAGGAAATTGAGGCTCCAAAGGGGTTCAATGGCTTGCCCATGGTTACACAGATAATGTTTCTGAGCCAGGATCTGAACCAGGGTCTTTGTTGACTCCAAGTTTAACACTTTTCCCTTCACTCAGTCGCCTGTCAATAGGATACTAATAGAGTGATCTATGCTATTGGTACATGTTGTATCTGGTCAATTATGATGCGCTTTATTAAAGAAGTCTACATTTTCACAAACCCAATTTTGAACATCTTTCTGAAATACAATGAAATAAATAAGTAAAATGCAGGCATGCATTTAGAACTGGAAGGATACACTCTGTCCAGTTTCTGTGATTACTTTTTAATATCTAAATTAAAACTATCCATAAACAACGTTTTAATTATGGTCAAATATTGTGACTTCAGCCTGAATGAAATCATGGTTTACTCTCAAATATCTGTTGAGGTAATTATTTATCACAACTGCATAAAATATTAGAAAATATATATTTTTTTCTGGTTCTTAAATTAATATTTTCCAAGGTAAACTTTTCAGTCACCTCAAACTAATATTTTTTTAATTGTTGAAGGAACTTGAATGATAATACTACCCAGATCCATTTTTGGTCTATTAAGGGTTAAGGTGGGTTATCTGAATTGTGAATGTCTTAATTAAAGCTCTCCAGTCTGGCAAGCTCACTTGACTGAAGCCTGGTGTTGATGAGGTCAAAATCTTGGGTCCAGAACCCATTTTGTGTTCAATTGGAGAAAAAGCAGTCTTTCATTGCAACTGAACCCCAAAGGAACATTTTAGAATTCTCTGAGTGTGTAAGAAAATCAACTCTAAGTGAACAGTCTTCTAACAAGTGCAAACAGCAACCTCCTTGTATATGGGTAGCATATTGAAAAAAAATAATTAAATTGAAAACATTTGATAAGACCTACAGGGACTCTTATTTGGAGATTCCCATATTACTCAGCCCAAACACAAAATTTCAATCAGTTTTATAGTAATACAGTACAGAAAAGACATTTAATTATAGCAGCATGGAAGATGAAAATTAGTTCAATTCTGATGATAAAATTATGCTTCAGGGCTAAACAGAGAATAGAAATGACTTTTATCTCATTTTATTAACGGGGGCTATAAATGGCATGCTCTTTGCTACTTTATGCAATGGTCTAAAAACAGCCATATCTAGGTTCTGGTATACTACAAAAAACTAAATTTCACTGGCTATGTTTCCCCACATTTGACGAGATGAGAGAACTTAGTGTGCCTGGTCTTGCTGGTATTACTTGAGCCACAGGCCTTTGAGCTCCTGGTGCCTGTCTTGGGTATTCACTCTTCCTTCACAAGAGATTTTAGGAGTTAATTAATCAGTTAGGCTGTGAAATACTGAATCTATGCAGACTGTATTATTGCATTAGGACATAGAGAACATGGCAGTCTACTACCTCTTGCACTGATATTTGCATTGAGTACCAATACGTATGCCAGAAGTTCGAATTTCAGCCTGAACATACCCTGATTCTTTCATACCAGGATATTAAGCTCCAGACATGCTATCACAGTACTCTGAATTACTCAGGCACACTGACTCTCTGTATTGACTTCAAATGCTAAATCTATCAATAATTCACTTGTTAAAGCTCTTATAATACAATCTGAGGCTAGCATCTCCCAACAATACCCAACAGCAACATATATGGTACATCCTTATAACGAGTCATGAGGTTCATAAAATTGAAGGCAGCTTTATCCTGTCATAACACAATGGTTACTATTGTTCTACTTTTCATAGGCATCTGCAAACATTTAGTAATGATAAGGCAAATATCCCACCACTACACACTATTAGCACTGTAAACATGTGTCTACAATGTTTCATATGTTTAATATTAAGAATACTATTGCCTTCGTTATATACTATGCATCATGTTCCTATAATCTAATAATCTCAAAATTTACAGAAGAATAACAGGATCTCAGAGATGGCCAGTACCTTAAAGGTTATTTATTCTAGCCTTTATCAAACAACTTTCTCTACATCTCTGGTAAGCTTCAATACAATCTCCACTCAAAATCTTCCAGTGGTGCTAACTTTTAAAGGAGCCCCTACTTTTTTAGAGATAGGTGTGCTCATTAGGAAATTTTTTACATATATTAAGGGTAAATTTGCCTCTCTGCAATTTCTGTTTCAGGGGTCCTTATTTGGTCCCTTGGATCCAAGGAAGGCAATATGATAGACACTCAAATCCTTGAAGACAGCTAGCTACTTTGTCTCCTGTTGTATCTTATCTAGGCAGCTAGGTGGTACAGTAGATAGGGTGCTGAGCCCGTCTCAGAGTCAGGAAGACTTGAGTTCAAATCTTACCTCAGAAGTTTACTAGCTCTGTGACCCTAGGGAAGTTACTTAACTGATGCCTGCCTCATTTTCATCTGTAAAATGTGCTTATTAGTGATGTGACCCTAGGCAAGTCACTTATGTTTCATTTTCTGCATCTATAAAATGGGGATAAAAATAGCAACTCTTTGTCAAGGTTGTTGTGAGGATAGAATGAGATATTTGCAAAACTCTTTACAAATCTGACAGTGCTCTATAAATTCTACTATTATTTTTATTCTCCAGGGTAACATTTCCATTCCTCCCATTAATCATCACATGGTGTGGTTTTCAATTATATCAGCTGTATAATGAAATTAAGGATTAGAAATGGGTTAAAGTTGATTGTGGGGAAAGGTAAGAAGGTATATTAAGAGTAAAGTCATGGATTTCAATTTCAAGCAATAGTTTTTAAGTTATCCACTTCAATTTTTCACTTAAAGTTGTTTTTTTGTTTTTTGTTTTTTGCTTTCAAATATGCCTGTTTGGTAGAAACTAAAGGCTTATTAAATCTTCTACACATGCAATTATGGAAGAAAACTTTTCTCATACATATTATATATATATATATATATATATATAATATGTATGTGTATATACATACATATGCATACATATGCATATATACACGCATGCATATACATGCATCTATATGTGTGTAAATGTATATACACACAGAGTTAGGTTATGTAGTGGATAGCCCAGCCCGGAGCGAGGAAGACTCATCTTCCTGAGTTCAAATCTGTCCTCAGACACTTACTAGCTGTGTGACCCTGGGCAAGTCACTTAACGCTGTCTGCCTCAGTTTCCTCATCTATAAAAAGAAGTGAAGAAGGAAATGGCAAACCACTCTAGTATCTTTGCCAAGAAAACCCCAAATGGGTTCCTGAAGTGACACAACTGAAATGACTGAATAACAAAACACACACACACGCACGCACACACACACACACACACACACTTGCACATGCTAGATATCTGAACAAAAGCTTCTGTCATGACCAATTGTCCTTTTTCAAAGAAGTGTTTATGCCCACAAAATCTTCATTAACAATCTCCCTTGTATTCATTAATGATTCTTTTTACCTCTCATTTCCCCAACTCAATTCTTCTTAATCCATTCCTTATCACTAGACTCAGAGAACATAGGGAAAATTCCAGAGACAAATATGATATCTACTCTTGAGAATTATGAAAAACCCAACAGATAGGAAGTATATAACTGTTTCTTAGTGTAACTTAGTATAATTGCTCCTTAAATTCTATAGGTTCTAGCTGTCTGATTATGTGCAGGTCTTGGGAATATGTTCATGTACAAATTGCCAAGTAATTTAAAAAAATTTTTAATTTTTAGCAATTCCCCACTTCTCTGACAGCAGTCTACCGATAAGGTGCCTCAGTTTTTCAGTGTTTGAACTTTTCTCCTGCTGACATTAGATGACAAACTTTCTAACACGGGAGGATGTCAAGGTTCCCTTTAAAATCTTTCAGTGAAATAAAACAGCCTACTGGGACAAGACACATCATTTTCCCAGGGGCCTTAGTCTTTGCCTAACTAAAAGGGAATTGAGATAGAGCTTTGGGTCATTGCTACAGCTCAGGCTGCTGTCATTAGGATAGACCTTTTGCTTTCTTTTCATTATATCCCTAATAGACCATAATTTTCCCATTAAAATAATGGAGACAAATTTTAAAAAATGTAATTTCTCAAACTTTAAAATCTGGGCATGCCTAGAAAGAAAATAAGACAAAAATTATTTTAAATTAGCAAAGATTCTATTTGAAAAATGCACAAAAAGAGGAAAAAAGAGCAGCAATCACCTATACAGATCTTATCTTATCCAATTTTCCATTGAAACCATAAAGAAAAGCACTGAACTCTCTGAGTTTCAAGTAAGTGGCCACTTAATAGTAATGGTGAGAGAAAAAAATTTAGCTATATGAAGCTGCTTTGTTATATACAAACCTCATACATGACAATTCATGTTTCTGCAGTGACAAAGTGGAAAATAGAGTCAATTTTCCAAATCAAAATGAAAATTCTCTGGGTACAAGTAAAAACTCACAGATGCATCAAATATTAGAGCTGAAAACTAAGAAAAACCAGTGCTTCTAGAAGAGAGTGATTTATGACTTTATAAAACATCTTAAGCTGTCATACTCAGACATTTTAGAGAAGAGAAAAATGCTTATTTCTTCAAGTTTTTGCTATTTGCATAACATTCAGATCCAGATTGCAAAGCTCTTTAGATTTTTAATTAATTAATTAATTTCACAATGCCTGTAAAACAGCTGCAAAGGCATCAAGCCTAAATTTTCAGAGGCAAATTTGGAAGTTTTCAAAAAGAGGCGGGGTTGCCACTTTCAAGTATTTTATAGTACAGGAAATTTTATTTCCATTTAGGTATGGGTTAGACTAGGTGGATGTTGAGGTACCTTTTAACTCTGAAATTCTGAGATTTGGGGAAACTCTAATTTCTTTTGCATGTGAAAGTCTTTCAAATAATTGAAGAAGAAAGGTATCTATAATTGATACCTTCATTTCCTTTCTTAACTCTCTACCTTCTGACTTCTGTCCTCATCATTTACCTGAAAACTGCTCTCTCTGTCTCTCTCTCTGTCTCTCTCTCTCTGTCTCTGTCTCTCTCTCTCTCAAGTTACCAATGATCTTTTCACTGCCAAATCTAATGGCCTTTCTCAGTCCTCACTGGTCTTTTTTTTTTTTTAACCTTAGGTCGATCAGTACTAGATTTCATCCTATTAGATTTGAGGTCAAGAAGCTACTGAGTTCCAATTCTATTATTTAATGTGTTAACTAGTGCAATGGAAAGAAGGAGTCAGAGGACCTGAGTTCAAATGTTGCTGCTGCTCCTACCTATGTATATCACCTCTGTGACCTTGAGCAAGTCAGTCAGTCAGTCAATGAACATTTATTAAGCGCCTACTATGTGCCAGGCACTATACTAAGCATGTCACTTATCCTCTTCAGTTTTCTCATCTGTAAAGTGAAGGTCTTGTACTCTGTGGTCAGTATAGTCCTTTCCAGCTCTAAGTCTATATTCTTATTTTTCTCTGCAAAGAAAGGGGCATAACAAAAAATATAATGCTAACAGATTTTCTTCAGGTGCTAGGAACTTCAAGTCAGAATACTGTATCCCTTCAAACTTCACAGTTATCTTTAAACTTGATAAGGACAGATCCCTGTGTCCCTCCACTAGAGACAGCATCCCTCCAGAAACACAGAACACATTTTACAGATGAGAAAACTGAAACTCACTGGTGAAATAATCTGAATGTAATTTCATACAGGGGCAGGCAGCTAGGTGATACAATGGAAAGAGTGCAGGACCTAAAGAACTGAGTTCAAATGCAGCCTCGGACACTTACTAGCTATGTGACCCTGGGCAAGTCACTTAGCCTTGCTTGCCTCAGTTTCCTCATTTGAAAAATGAGCTGGAGAAGCAAATGGAAAACCACTCCAGTATCTCTGCCAAGAAAACCCCAAATGGGGTCACAAAGAGTTGGACACAACTGAAAAATGATTGAACAACAACAGATTTCACACAGACATTGGCTTTGCCCGATACTTTGGACACAGGCTCTCTACCTTCCTTTCCAGTGCTCTTTGTACTATATCATACTTCTTCATTAATCTATTAATCAGTACCCTTGGGGTCTAATCATTAAATAATGTCCAAGTCTAACTGATTATACCTTCACCTAACCCATATCTCTCCCCTTTGCCCACAGGGATATGGTTGGAAATGCTGCAAAACATTTTACTGAAACCCATATTAAGACTTTAAGCATTCCCATGTGTTAATAATATTCCTTTGATTCTAAACATGAAATAAGTCCTTCCTTCTAAGTTGCTATTTCCTAGGAGAATGTTAGGCACTTGTGGAAATTCAGGAGCATTTTCTAATAGCTAGCTAATTCACACACTTATCCTAGCTCATTGCCTGGAAAAATTTCACTCTTTATAGCATATGCAATAAAGCTTCCATTAATGAAGAGGTTATATTCCAAGAAGGCAATCTTGTCGGTTATTTTGTTATCAGATGTAACAACAGATGTCAGAAATATTTCAGACCTTAGAATACCTTGCCATACCTCAGTATGGTATGCCATACCTCTCCTATTTTATCCCCCAAAAAATATAGCCCTCCCATCTCTCAAGGATGGCTCCCCATCCAGTAACAGAGAGGCTACATAGTGTGGTTGGGGAGAAGGCAGGGATGTGTTGCTTCCCACTTCTAAGCAAGGGGACCATGTGACTGATTGTAGCCCTTGCACAGCTTCTCCTTGAGAGCCCTGCAGCTGTGACAGCACTGCTACGTCCTCCTCCCTAAGCTACCAGAAATATCACAAATCCAATGCTGAGGAGCCCAGAACTTTCCATTAACCCCCCTCCTACTAGGCTGGTTTTGTTAAAAGAAACCTTGTGTTCAGGGAAATTAATTTAAATAATACAGCATGACAACGGTATAATTTTATTTTAATTTATAGGGCAGCTAGGTGGTACAATGGATAAAACACTGGACCTAGAATCAGGCAGACTCCTCTTTGTGAGTTCAAATCTGGCTTCAGACACTTTCTAGCTGTGTGATTCTGGGCAAGTCATTGAACCCTATTTGCCACAGTTTCCTCATCTGTAAAATAAACTGGAAAAGGAAATGGCAAACCATTCCAGTATATTTAACAAGAAAACCCCAAATGGAGTCATGAAGAGTCAGACTCTACTCAAAGGACTGAACAACAATAAATAAATGCTAAAGACAAATGATAGAAATGAATAATTAGTCAAAATTTAAATTATTGCTTATTTATTCCTGAAACTAAGGCTATGTGTGTGTTTGTTCAGCTAAGGTCTTCAGCCTAGTTAGCATACAGAATTGTATCTGCAGAGCATGAATTACAGATTTTAACACACTTTTAACACATTTCCTATGGCAGGGGTGAGAAACCTATTTTTTCTACTAAGGTTCATTTAGCCATGGGGGGGTGAGGGAGAAAAAACAATTGGGGCCACATCATTATAATTCAGTTTAATTTGTTTCTTTTTGAGAGAGCAGTATCAAATGTTCTGCTGATAGGCCTTTTAACTTAAGGGCAGGGAACATTAAATTCTGTTTGATAATTAAAATATACTTTCTTTCTATCTTATCATTAGTTAAGAGGAGATGGAACGGAGGAAGATAGAGAAAAATGAATATAAAAAGAAAGACAGATAAAGGGAAACTGCAAGAAGACCAGTGCAGTAAACATACAGATCCTCATACATAGACCTATACACACAAATGGAGATGGTCACAGACTCACAGAGGCAACAAATGTACAAATATTTAAACCCACAGAAAGAAAGCAACACATATAGAAGGACTTACATACAGAGAAATGGTCTTTCATGGACTAATACCCTCATTTTCTATTTTTTTTTACTTTAATGCCAGTAAACACTTCTATAATCTCTGTTGTATTTTTTACGACTATGGGCATAAATGAGTAATCCTAACTTCTGGTATTTATCCTTTACTGCAGATGAAATGAAATCAAGGGCCTAAAGTTCTCCATCCCTGCACTACTAGATAACGTCAGGGCATACACACACACTTTTGGTTAAGCAATCCATCTTGGAAATAGTAGCAAAGAGATAGAGAAATGATTCACTTTTTTAATATTGTTCTTCCTTTAGTGTTGACCATAGATACTATTTGATCTTTATCTGTAACCTATATACCTTTTGAGACCTTGGCTTATTTAAGAAAGACAGAAAACATTTTCCTGTTTTTTCAGAACTTCATTGTGAATTGTTTTCCTGCTAAACATGTTTCAAATGATTCATTCTTCTGTATTACACAAAAGACTTTCACTCCAGTGTATAACACTTAGGAATATGGCAGATCCCCAAACACCTAGGTACCTGCTGTCTGTCCAGACGCATCCTCTTTGCAGCATTTCTACTCTCACTCTCACAGGCTGAGGCCAAGATACTCTCTGCAACTGCTGAAGTAAGGTGAGAAGGAATAGGTCGAGACTAAAAAAGAGAGAGAGAGAGAAAATAAAGAAGAAATAAACATTAATAATAGGCTCATTAACAAACCAATGATTTCCTTAGAGGAACTCACAGAAGAGTCACATGTGCAGGAGGATCCATTCATTGTAACTTAATTTATTTGAACAGAAGGAGGAAATGGAAATTGTAAAGATGAAAAATGAAAACTAGTTAGAGGTTAAAGCTGCAGTGCATACACAGATCCATCATTTCCCCCACAGCGCCATTGTCCAGGGTATTGAGTTTGGCTCATTAGGCTGCGTTTTCTGTAGGCAGTGTCACACTCGAAGCATCACAGCAGTAACCTTGCTATCTGAATATTTCTAATAAAACTAGAAATTCATTTTTAATTCCTTTGTAGCAGATGACAGTGTTTTTTAAACTTATAAAAACACAAGTGATGGGACGCAAATATCACTGAAAACATAACAGATTGTCAGACCAACTCAGAACATTCTTGGTATGAAATTTTATGAATATTTACAATCTTTGTTGCAGCATGATTGATGTGATTGAAATTGATGTGATTTAAAAATGAATCCATACCTACTTGGAATCCATACTAATAGATGGCTATCCTAAAGCAATATGGATATATTTCCAGGTTTGAGACATGTAGTTTTTATATGAATTCACATTATGAAATTTAATAACATTTACATGTGTAAATCTAACTTCCACACAGAAAGGAATAAATCATTGACTGTACTACTACCCAAATGGCTATCAATGCAATGCAACTCTCGATATCAATTTGTGAACAGATTATTTTCATTCTTTTCTCAGTAATTACACACAAAATCCTCTTGCTGAAAGATGAAGAACTTAATGACTACCTAAACCAGTTTTCTTAATTAAGATACACAGAGATAGAACCAAAATAACATGAAAAATTAGTTGGAGCTGAATTCAATTCCAAAATACAAGCACAGTTTAAGGAAATTAATGCACCTGACATGTCTTCTTCAGTTTTCTTTTCATTAAGCTTTAATCAACAACGTGTCTGTAAGTTATTAAAAGCTCCAACAGATAGGAAACAGATTTTTTCCCCCATGAGCTCTAGTATCTTCTCAATGATATTCAGTTTTCTAATTCTCCCCAAGAGAAATATTAGAGACAAATCTCACTGTAAGATTTATATAATCATTCCAATTTCTACAAAAGTTAGTTTTGGTCACTAGTTTTCTGATAGATGTTTATAGATGTTTCCCATACTCAGACAGAAACCAGTGCTCTGGCCTTGTGTGAATGATAAGGCAGTGATTAAGGCTCAGCCAGCAGACCTGCTCATTGCTTTCCTGGAGAGGGTAGCCTTCCTTGACAAAAAGCTGGCACTACACCATGATAACGTCTACTCATCTACTAATCCTGTAGGGTCTCTCAAAAGATGATCATATATAACTTTGACAACAGAGAAGTACAACTAGTATCACTGAGTCTGCATAGAGTTTTTTGGAAGTTGTTTCTGCAAGAAGATCAAAAGAAATAGACTACAGAATGGGGCAGAGAAAATAATATAGAAGCAGGGAAACTGGAATGCTAGGGGCCAAGCAGAGAGGCAGCCCAATGAAACTATACTGTTAAATCAATATGCATTTATTAAAGGCCTATTATGTACCAGGCAGTGTGGAGAAACAAACTGAATTGTCAAACATTCCAGAAGCATCTGATCAACTTTAAAATGCAGCTAACTCTATTGAAAGGTTTTAATTTCATTCTTCTTTCTTAACCAGAAAAGTGACAGATCATGGGTTTCCTTAAAATATGGGTAGTATGACTTTTAGGAGTATAACTCAGATGGGTACTCACTGACCTTTGGCTTTCAGAGGAAACATAGAGGGTCGTCATTCCTTTCGCCCACATCACCCTCCCAAGTCTAACTCAGCAAACATCTATTGAGCATATGCTAAATGAGAGGCACTCTGCCAGGTCCTGGACATACAAAGACAAAATGAGGAATAGTCCCTTACATTAAGGAGTTTATATTCCAATAAGGAGAGATAACATGTCAACAGTTAAGTATAACTCTAACAGTTTGTGGAGAGAGAGTATTGCCAAGTAGAGGCATCAGAAATGGTTTCCTGGTCCCTATGCCTCTGATATTATCTTGGGAACAGGAGTGCTGATGGGTTTGTTTGTTTTTTAGAGAAACATGATATTAAGAGTAAATCAATATTATACCAATACAAAGACTAATCCTTTTAGAACATGAATTCTTGACCTGAGGTATGTGAGCTTGCTTTTTTTTTTTAAACAAAAATCTTTGATAACTGTATTTCAATATAGTGGTTTTCCTCTGTAATCTCATGTATTTTATTTTGTACATTTAAAACCTTACTCTAAGAAGGGGCCCATAGGCTTCACCAGACTTCTAGAGAACTCTGTAACAGAAAAAAGGTGAAGAACACTTGTCTTAGAAAAATAAATTATTAGATCTCCCTTTAAGTTCCAGGTATGGGGTTAAAAGTGTCTCTTTTTCAAATCTTAATTCTTTATTTCATTCAAGGAAAGGGAAATTTCACTCATTATCTATAATTTCCCTTCTGTCTCCTTATTAGGATTTTGTTAAACGATGGGGTGGTTAAACTAGCGGAAAGAGATTAATGAACAGAAATAAATGGACCTTAAAGAAAAGATATACCCTGTAGAACAGAGGAATTAAATTGTAAAACATGTAATAAAAATGCTTACAATATTATGTACATTTATATATTTATTTACAGTGTGTCTTTAATTTGAAAAAAAAAACCACTGTAAAATACCTTAGGATACAGTAGAAACTTCTTGCAGTTGAAAGATGCAAAAATATTGGGGAATCTCCTATTTGGCAAATTTTATATTTCACAATATTTCTATGTGAATGGTTTAAATAGACTTTCGACTAGAGACAGGGTGGGAGAATAGATGACACCCGAGGAAACTCACAATTGGAGAGATCACATGTAGGTTTACGGTTTAAGAATATAAGCATTATTCCTTAACATCACAATGCTCTCAGTTTAATTTCTAATCATAGAATGTTAGGATTGTAGGGGACCTTAGCCACATCACATTTAACCACTTTATCTTATAGATGAGGAGACTGGGGCCTTGAGAAGTAAAATAACTCACCCCAAATCGTGTATTTGGTTGATGGCAAAGCTAAAATGAGCTCAAGTCTCCTGATTCTCAAGTAAGTGCTCTTTTCATTAGATCACCCTAACCCCCTCAATAAATACCAGCCCCATGGCATTTCATTTAAACTACTTATCATTAAGTTCTCAAATATTATGTAAAGGTTAAATAATTACACAGCAACCATGATTCACAACTAAAAATTATGAAGACAAAATATATTATCTGTTATAAAACAGCTGCCAAGACCTGCAACACCTACCCATGAAATCACAGGTAAAACAATAATATAATTAACATTTGAATGTAAAATAATACTACAATAAAGCTAATTTATACTCATTGGCACAAAGAAGGCCAGTCTAAATTAGTGAATGAAACATGCCTTATAGAATTGTTTTTAAAAATATAATTTTATTACTTTCAAGCATACATATATTAATTAGAATTTTAAAAATTATAAATAGAAACCTTGCTGTAACCTGATTTTTATGTATATACAGGACTCCTCAGTAATTAGAAGAATCCATTTGAAAATGTTTAAATCCTTGAAAACAGACTTTTTATTAAGTAGGTAAAGTACCACTATGAAATAGTGTTTATCTTATTAACTTGCTTATTAAAAAACAACAGCCAAAAAGAGCACTCACACAAAAACATACCAACCCCAGTCCAGTTGCTGCTTAACCAGAGGACTAGCCCAGTGCCACTCCTGAGCCTTGAGTTAAATGACTGCTGAAGGTTTTGAACTTGAATTAAAGCTTAGAACCAAGTCTACCCAACCTAGAGACAATACAGGGACACAGGAGCCATCATCTATTGCAACTTTTCCATGGGCTTCTAATAATAATAGAAATAAGATGAATACTTTGTGAAATCTAAATTACTGAGCTTGTATTTAGTAGCCAGAAAAAAATAATCAAGAGAATCTTTACATAAAAATTGGCTAAGTAAGAGATACTTCAGGATTGATAATGGATTGCCTAAAGTGCTACAGCACTTCTCTGATTCCACTATTGGACAGTCCCCTGAGGTCATGGTTTTATATCCAAAGATAGCATTAAATACCAGTTATTCCCTCCTCTGGCTCCAAATTATTAATTATTATGAGCTGATTATATCATTTCGATTAGCCAAGTCTTTTGTTGCTAGTCATAGATTGGCTTTCCTTCTTTGGTCCATTTCATTTCTCTATGGCAATCAAACCAAGATGGTATAATTTTGGAAGAAATTAATAAATATTTCTCATTATAACGGGTCTGATGGAGGAGGTTTAAATTATCGTCAAAAATGAGATTTGTGTGTTTCTTTTGTCTATATTCTCCCTTAGTCTTCTTTATTCCCTTGGACAATTGTGAGTTCATTGGAATGTCACTGTTTCTGAGCGCTCCTGACAGGTAATTAGCATAATGAATCAATGCCTTCTCTGGACCAAGTGCTGCAGCTCTGGACTGGCAAAAGAATGCTGCTGCTCAGCCCCAGTGCCTGCTTATGCCAGAAAAAGTGACCATAGAAACAAAAGATTTTTAGGGAATGATGAGACAAAGAGAACATTTTAAAACAAATGAAAATCATTTTGGCAAAATCCCCAGAAAAACATGTCCCTCTTTTAAGGAGGTTGGTCACACTCTAGTCCATTTGAGAATAAATTGAAGAAAACCCTAAATAAAAAAAGATAACAAATATATCTGAGTATAGCAAGACATGTGGTCAAAGTTGTACTAATATTGGGAAGGTCGGTTACCTATTTCTTTCCCGTTACGTGATAGACAGAGCTAGCTACTCACTGCTCACTAATTAACTGGTCATAATTAGCTGTCATTCTCAACTTGCTTCTAGGGGCATCTTTCCTCAGCACTGCTCTTATC